GAAACTTGTCACTGCACGCTCACTGGACAAACTGAGACAAAGACACAGACAATTAAGATTACAGTTTTTGATTCAAGAATTATGATTTATAACGTATAAGAAGAGAAATACGTGTATTATTTTATATCAATATATGTGAAGATAAACAACAGAATTTTCAAAAATCATATCATATGAGCACATTGTCACAATATGGTTCCCTTGAAATTCTATAACTGATGACATTGAATGATCACCATACATGCACAGAAAAAAATCTAATTACCCTTGTATGAATGAAGTGAAGAAGGTGGTGTAAAAGTCCACGGTTGGATCAGTCACCTCTTGAGGCAGTTTGCTGAGGAGGGGCATTAAGTTAGGGTGGAGCGCTTTAGCCATGCCTTTGCCACCCTCTTTTAGTAGAGCCCAAAGTTTAGGTAAGAAGCCCTTCTTGGCATTCACATGTGTCCAGCAATCCTGAAATAGAAAAAAGAAAATCATTTTGCATTTTAATTGGCACTTCTACACTTCTATATTGGTATCTACACATCAGTCACTCTACAAGTACTGGTTTACTGTAACTTACACTATCTATTCAGTCTACTGTAATACCATGAAATAACACAAGACAAACACAAGCTTACAGGGATCGTAGACACGACGCGTAGAACAGCCTCCCACACAGGAGGCAGCACTACAGGATCTGTGTCATCAATGCTGAGGAGAACAGCAGGGCAGATTCGTGCTGCTTCAGCCTGGACCAGTCCTGGAGTGAACTCACACAGAGCACACACCATCTCAAAAAATGCCCCTCGCACCTGTGGAGCAAAGCACAGAAGTATTCAGGGAAATATTTTCTTCACAACAGATTGTTGCGTGCAGATATGGCAGCATAACCATAATTGAACTACTCACACAGTTAAAGTCAACTCAAGCGTAGGTGTGGGACAGATTGTAGTGGATATATTGTGAACTAAATAATTATTATAACACATGTCTACATAATCTGTGTCTGTAAACTAGAAGAAAGTTTTTTATTAACATTTTACCTTTATATATAAACATAGCCCCAGTAACTCAGCTAACAACCTATAATTAAAATGAAAAAATATAATACAATATATATTATTAGTGGAAGAATATAAACATTCAATAACCCTGTTTTAATTCAGTTAAATTGCATTATGCGCATATATCTGATTTACTTAGTTACATGCATATGCTTTCCAGCATCTGTTATAAACAGAGCAGTCCAATTCAATGCCAGTACCTGTGGTGTCTTGTGTTTGCTGTACTTCCAGAACTTTGCAGAATTAACAAGATGTGCTAGTCTTTTCTCCAGAGCTGTCCTGTCATCCTGGAGCAGCAGGGAGAGCAGTCTCTTCACCCCCAACAGTGAACTGGTCAGCATACGCACATATTTGGCTTCTCTCTCCTCCTCTGTCACACTTCTAGAGTACAGAGGGAACCAGTGACTCTGACAGCATATATTATCGCTGTGGACACAGACGCTATAATGAGCTAAACTGTTAACTTACTGTGGATCGCTCAGTGTGTCAGCCGTTTCCTTTAACAAAATATCTTGAAGTACCTGTAATACAAAAACAACACTTTAAGGTTAATTTAGCTCATTACAGTGCAAATACCTTTAACTGCACTAGGGCCACCACTACTACTCACGTTAAGGATCTCATCCTTGCAGAAGCTAAGAGCCTCTGGCTGTTTGGTGGGTGAGAAAGCAGCCTGGAAGGCTTGACACGCAGCAGAGGCTGCAGGTGTGTATGTGTCACACTGGGACAGAATCCAGTGGCCCATCAAGCTCTTCAGAAAGGGGGCCAAGCTGCGACGCACTTTCAACACCAGCTGCTCGAAGGCCTGTTGGGTGGCCTCTCTGATCCGACGATCATGGTCCTGATAGACATAACGATAGAGACACAACAGCTGCACTTAGACATATTAAAGTTCCACTAACCTAATATATTTTCTATTGAAATTTGATACTTAGGATGGGACTGATGTTAGATGGTGGTGATTGTGTATTTATGCATTTCAGCTGCACTATTTCCAGAATGTTAAAAGTAATGTGACATTGATACAATCAATGATCAGCTCACCACTGATATCTTGCAGTAAATCCTGGGCCAGTATGGCAGGACCCCTTTAACCTCTTCAGCATCCCGTTCCTGACACATGGACCCAAAGTCTTGCACAGCCTGAGAAGAGTACACAGCATCAAGACACACACACCCTTGGGTGACTTCAACACTCCCAATGAGATTGCTTTTCTTGTTTCACGATTACTGTACTTTATGTTATTCTAAGTGGTAGATTGAAACATACGTGTCATATATTTATATGTTGCTTGTCTGTTGTGTGGTTGGTAAGTTAGTTAAAGCTGAAACTCACTTTCAGCCTAGTGACAACATCCCTCTTCGAGAGTTTCCTGAGCACCAGGCGGAAATCAGCATCTACCAGGTTGTCTATCTCCTCCGCCCCGTGGACAGCGGGGACATAACTCAGCTCCGAAGTGACCGTTGTGTCGAAGCCCACAAAGCCCGGGATGACACCACCCTCCCGGGTCAGCACCTCAGCTGCTCGGCCGCTACTGGACGGCTAGTAGCGGAAGAGAGACGTGTGCTTATAGAAAACCCCACAAAAAGTAATGTAGACGGCCAAACGGACACGTAGTGGTTATGAAACAGCGGAGACACCGTCACACGTAGCATTAGCTCTGAACGTGAAGTTTCACTACATTAGCTTGTGCTCGGTTTGTTGCTAGCAGTCTCGTTACTTTAAACACTGTAGCTAAGTTAGCTTAGAGAAATTGGTACTTACCCGAACATTTCCTTTGGTTCGCTGTTTATTCTTGCCCCCCATGAATACACATTAATCTTAAAAGTAACCGCTGTCAACGTTAACTTAGTAGTTAGGAGGGTTGGTAATATTGATCAGCGTGAAAGCCACGGGTCGTGCTCATGCTACACAACTGAGGACTTCCTGTTTAAAACTTTCAAAATAAAGCGTTGGAAATGAAGTAAAACGTAAAAAGTAAAACAACTCAACTTATATGGTATGTACTAAGAAAAAAGCAGCTTGCCCCCTAAGTCAGCCCTGTTGTACAATGGTGACATTTGGTGACAACCTTTTTATGATTTTGTTTTTGTTTTTTTAAACAAAGTCTATACTGTCAATGGGTGAGTCACATGCTTTTACTTTTTAATACGAAATATCCAAACGGAAGTACTGACATGCTTACATGTGTCTACTTGACACACAAATATACTTCCGTTATTGATTTCTTCTTCTTGTCCATTTGAAGTAAACTAAAAGCATTGTCTACTCATCACTGCCCTCCATGAGCATACTGCACACACTGCATCCCTGCATAAACATGACTCAGAAGAGGGAGTTCATTTTGGCCTGAGGGTGATGGAAGAGGAAAGCTTTAGAAGTGTCCTCTGGAGAGCATACATTTAGCCCATTCATTTCATTACTGTTGCTGCACATTAGATTTCTTGTGTACAAGTGGAAATTTTAACCTGATGGTGGCACCAGAGGAGAGGCCACTCAGCAAATGTCATGGAAACCAGGCCGCTCATTCTGGACACCTTGTGTAAAAAGTTGACCACATCTTATCGGTAGTATTCCTAAGGCACAGTAAAATTCATGGCATTCTGCTCATTAAGGAGTCATCCTCTATACACCATATTACCAGTTAAGCTATTTCAAGGAACCCTGATTATACAAAGTATTGGCAAGGGGGCCTTTTTTGGTAGTGTGGTCAGGTGAAAGGTTTAGGTTTCCAACTCACGAGGAATAATACTGAATATTCAGCATCTGGTCCTGCTCTGGGAATGTTGGATGTTTGACTTATCTAGTTTGACCTTATCTTTAAACATGAACCCTGACAACAAAACCCCGATACTAGATTACACTAATGGATTTGGCTCCAGATCTACAATAACACATTACATCAACAGAGCTCAGCCTCTACTACTTCCCAGCATCTGTACTACATCATTGGATCTAAAGATACTGTTTGAAACTTGTGGAACAAAACTGTTTGTTCAGAGACACACAACATGAGCCTGTTTACACCTGGTATTAACATGCGTCTTGAGGGATCCCATCACGTTCTAAATACAAGAGTAAACAACTTTGTGAAGTAGTGCAAATGCCACAAGAACAGAGTTATTGAACTGTGTACTGTAACTCAAAATAAGTGGTTCTCCTTAAAAGTCAAGAAATTTCTGTCTGTCAACTTTGACATTTCACAAGTAAAAGCAGAGAAGAGCTGACATGAGTATTTTCCCCCTCTTACCAATTAATCATCACCCCTAGGTTGAGACCCTCTGCCCTGGATGAAGATCAAATGATCAAATACACTGGTGCTGAACTTCATCAAATCCTTTTCCACAACATTAAAATGATATGAAATCAAACTCAAACGCACAGAACACCAACAGGTCATTCATTTGGAATCAAAAAATATTTTAATATACACCCTTTTTAGATAAATCAAAAACATTTGCAGTTGTATTTTAATTCTTTACCATATATTTACTTAATATATTGTATCACTATTTCTATTTCTAAAACAGCTCTAATTTAGTCCAAACATGAATATTGCAGTATTATTTTTTACAATAATGGCTTCTTGTATGGAGGTCAGGTGTGTGTGTAAACAGTAAATAACTGCCAGAAATGTCGGAAATTCAGATTCAGAAATTTTCAAATGTTTACAGTCTAATTATATTAGTCTGTTCAGATTTGGAATGAAGTTGTCATGATTGGTCCATCTGGAAAAATGTGCCATTTGCACTTAAGACAGAACTTTTGCATAAACCACATAAGTACCCACAGTCCCCTTTATTTAATTAACTGCAGAACCACTGTGAGTGTTTATTACTTAAAATATTTAAATTCATACTCAGAGAACAAAAAAGATTTAAAACCTAAAACATGATTTTTGGCAGACATCCTTCTCTCCCAACAATTAAAATCAAAAAAACAAAAGCAGATTGAGCTGTGTGCATTTTATTCACAGAAACAGATTCCTTGTTACCCGCTTCGATTTGACAAATTCAGTAAATCTTCAGTAAACATGGTTTCAATCAATGTGGATTTTAAACGATAGGGTTCAACCTGGAACTGACAATAAGTATTAATTCAAATGGAAGCAGCCAACACGTTTGTTTTCGCTCATGTGAAACAACCACATATTTGACTGTGTTTGGCTTGTATTAGTAAATATTTCACACTGAACTCATTTCTAACCCAAATATCTCCAGAGTGAAAAGGATCAGGTTGACTAAAACAATGACCTTTTGAATTTTGTGTAGAGAATATAATTTGTGGTCCTGAACTTTGATTTTACGAACTATATGTAAATTATACAGCTCTGCATTGTCATTTCATTAATTAATCTTGTGCATCACATTACAAAGTCTTGGCTCTTTATGCTGTACAGTGATGTTGCTCATGTAATTTGTAAACTAAAGGTCGTTTCTAAACTTAGACCTATTCTCTGAAACCCTGCAACCCTTTCTTAAGACATACAGTTGAAACCAGAAGTTTACATACACTGTATAAAAAGACACATACGCTTTTTTTTCTCACTGTCTCACATGAAATCAAATCACTTTTCCTGTTTTAGGTCCGTTAGGTTTACCAAAATTATTTCTATTTGCTAAATGCCAGAATAATGAGAGAAGGATTTTTTTTTTTTTTTTAGACAATTTTTTATTACTTTCTTCAAAGTCAGAAGTTTACATACACTAAGATTACTATGCCTTTAAACAATTTGGGAAAGCCCAGATGATGATGTCATGTCTTTGGAAGCTTCTGACAACATTTATTGACAACATTTGAGTTAATTAGAGATACACCTGTGGATGTATTTTAAGGCACACCTGAAACAGACTGCTTCTTTGTGTAACATCATGGGAAAGTCAAAAGAAATCAGCCAAGATATTGGGAAGAGAATTGTGGACTTGCACACAAGTCTGGTTCATCCTTGGGTGCAATTTCCAGATGCCTGAAGGTGCCACGTTCATCTGTTCAAACAATTATACGCAAGTATAAACACCATGGGAATGTCCAGCCATCATACCGCTCAGGAAGGAGACGGGTTCTGTGTCCCAGAGTTGAACGTGCTTTGGTCCGAAATGTGCATATCAACCCAAGAACAAAAGCAAAAGACCTTGTGAAGATGCTGGCTGAAGCTGGTAAGAGTGTCGTTATCCACAGTGAAACGAGTGCTGTACCGACATGAGCTGAAAGGCCACTCTGTCAGGAAGAAGCCATTACTCCAAAAGAAACATAAAAAAGCTAGATTACAATTTTCAAATGCACACAGGGACAAAGACCTTAATTTTTGGACACATGTCCTGTGGTCTGACAAAACTAAAATCGAACTGTTTGGCCATAATGACCATCGTTACGTTTAAAGGAAAAAGGGGGAAGTTTGCAAGCCTGAGAACACCATCCCAACTGAAATACAGGGGTGGCAGCATCATGTTGTGGGGTTGTTTTTCTGCAGGAGGGACTGGTGCACTTCACAAAATAGATGGCATTATGAGGAAAGAACATTATGTGGAAATACTGAAGCAACATCTCAAGACATCAGCCAGGAAGTTAAAGCTTGGTCGCAAATGGGTCTTCCAAATGGACAATGACCCGAAGCATACTGCCAAACTGGTTACAAAGTGGCTTAAGGACAACAAAGTCAATGTTTTGGAGTGGCCATCACAAAGCCCTGATCTCAATCCTATTGAACATCTATGGGCAGAGCTGAAATGGCATGTGCGAGCAAGGTGGCCTTGGCTTAGTTACACCAGTTCTGTCAGGAGGAATGGGCCAAAATTCCTGCCAACTATTGTGAGAAGCTTGTGGAAGGATATCCAAAACGTTTGACCCAAGTCATACAGTTTAAAGGCAATGGTACCAAATACTAATGAAATGTATGTAAACTTCTGACTTTCAAGAAAGTAATAAAAACATTGTCTAAAAAATTCTCTCATTATTCTGGCATTTAGCAAATAGAAATCATTTTGGTAATCCTAATTGACCTAAAACAGGAAAAGTTTAATCTGATTTAATGTCAGACAGAGAGAAAAGAGATTATGTGTCTTTTTATACAGTGTATGTAAACTTCTGGTTTCAACTGTATAAACACTTTCTGTTGTAAATACAGGGTACATATGCATTTTACTGTAAAGCAGAGGTGGAAGAGACACCAAGTAGTAGGAGTTAGTAGTACGGTTCTCAATGTACCATCAACCTCTGGCCAAATCATTTTTCCAAGCTGTAGCATAATATGACTACATGTTTCTTATACACTGACTTTCTTATACACTTAAAATATACCAACCTCTTTTTAAAAATAACTATGGGACAAGTATGCAACCTGTAGATGGCTATAAAGTAATCAGGTTAGTGCTCAGCATGAACTGTAAGTGGGATCTTATTCCCTGTCTTAACATGATTTCACCCAATAACCTGGTTTACTGTGTGCAAGTAAACATAGTTGCAGTACTAGTAAACAATTTATTACATTTCCTTAGCTGTATTTATTGTCGACGTGTGTCTTCAAGGTTAAATTATTTGTATTTTTCTTGATTCTTTCTTTTAACCCATTAAGTATCTATTAATGTCACTCACTCACACAGCAATCATTTCTGTCAATTGTAGTTAAAGAAAAAAAAAACACTAGTGTGTGTGTAAAGGTAGAGATTAGGGGGGGAAGAAAGTGGTTAAAAATGGCGACTTTCCACCTGTGTTTTACATCATAGACCACAATCTAAATACATGTCCCATTGCCCATACAGAATAAAATATTTGATAAGGCTACATAATTATTCATACCATAAGTTACCATCCAAATGACCAACTTGAGTTCAGTCGGTATACAAACCAATGGTACAAACCTACAGGTAACTTGCAAATTAAAAAAAACATTACGATGACAGGATTAAAGGAATGTTGTTGCATCTGAAGTGAAATCATTTTTTATTTTCCAATAAATCAATTTTGGTGTTTACTGAATTTAAACTAAATTATGTGTTTCATTATTTTACCAGTTACCTGTACCCACATAATCCCAGTCGGTAAATGTGCTTGTGCAACACCACACTTGACACTCACACTCTGCTTTGGAGGTCCTGGGCTTTTAAATCCTCCAAAGCATATTCCATCTCATAACACAACATCACCCCTTCTGAGCTGTCATAACAGCAAAGAAAACAACAGCCAGAACTGTCTATTTCCTGTTGAGGTAACCCTACAGGCCCTCTCAGAGCCTGGTCCCAAGTCATCCGAGTTGGACGTCGGCTCCTGGTGTAAGCATCGTGGTGAAACGAGGGTCCAGTTTGGGCACAAAGCCTTTAAAGTCCCTGGAGGCCTGAGTCCCAAACACATCTAGCAACTGTCTGTTCATTAGAGCAAACCTAGGAAAGGAGACAGAAAATAATCTCTGTACCATCATGAAAAAAACACAACGTTCAACAACAGATCATCCTAACCCGGACAGAGACACACTGACAATCTTACAGAATTAGATTCAATGTTTCATATGAGAGAGCTACACAGTGACTGACTTACATACTGTATACTGTATACTTTGCTAACTGCTCTGCAAATCATTTACAATCACAGCTCAAATACAGTATACACAACTAAAATGCTCTTCAATACCACAGTCACAATTGGATCCCTCCATGTCATAAACAAATTATGCTTCTTCTGACTTAATCAGAAACCTTTATCAGGTTCATGGTAGTCAATATAAACATATTTGCTGAAATCCAAGTAAAACTCTGTTGACGATCACTGTGCTTACTGACCATCTTGTCTCCTTTAGTAACATTTAAATAATGATAAATTAGTTCTGTACTAAATAAAGTAGCCATTTTTCTCTAAAACAGATACACAATTTTTAAATCAAACCTTAATAATGACAAACAAAACAGTCTGACAACTGACAGATTCCACATCAGACATTCCTACCTGCCCTTAGTTAAACGCAACAGGAACTTCCAGTATGTAGGCCTGAGGTTCTGCACTTCCATCACAGCCTGTGTAACAGTAACAAGTCATGCATTATATCCTTACTCAGCAATAAATAAATAAAAAGTGTCTGAAGCATATTTATTTGAGAAATGCATGTTTGTGTATGTGTTACAGCTTACAGCTTGGAAACAGATTGCAGTGGAGATTGCATACAGGACCGTGTCAGCATGAGGAAAGTAAGGGAACCGTCCGGCCTCAATGCCCTTGAAGTACATGGTCTAAAGACAGAGAGACAGATTACATTCTGTTAATGATAAACTGTCCATTACAGATAGGTTTCAGATAAGCAGACATGTATAACAACACTATTTTGCAAGTAGTAGTAGTAGTAGTAGTTAGTTTGTTATGATGAAGATATGGTATTTATCAGTAACACTTAACATACTTATGTAAGTTTATTTACAGTTTGAGAGGTGAACATTTGAAACACTAATTTCCGTGACGTAATATATGACTCTGCTTCATGCCCAAAGAGATGTTCTTTTACCTCCACCAGCTTTGTGAAGAGATACATGGATATTGTCGTGCTTTTGTAGAAGAACATTGAAATACCAGCCAGGAAGCCTTGAAAAACAGCCAAAAAGGCAAAGAGACAACTGTCAAACATGTAAATCAGCTACGACATTACAAAGTCCAGATTAGGACTGCTCTACACGTATTTTATTTTACAGTTTACACAATTATTCTTACCAGCAACCAGTGCATGGAGTTCATCATCGATATTACGCACCCAGCGCAACAAGCAGCTTGTTCCCTGAGTGAAAGAGAAACACATAAAAAAAATATTACAACATAGCATACAACAACATGATACTCATGACATCATAAAAGACAATAAATTAGGTAAAAGAAAACAATAACAAACATCAAAGAAAAATCAGAGAAGGATATCAGAGATTACAAATCAAATGTGTCTCTAGGTACTGTTGATATATGATATGATATGATATGATATGATATATGAAATATACCTTGTAGATACTGACGAAAGATCCTAGAAAGGCCCCTAGCTGGAAGTTTTCTTTGTTGTAGAAGAGGGAGGGGAGCCGTGAAGGTTTAGAGAACATCTGTCTGAATGCTGAGGGCACTTTAAGACAACACTGAATCAGGTAGCCAACACTGAACATCCTAACAAAACTCTGGACAATGAAAGAAAAGAAAAACATATTTAATAATGTATTATTATCATTTAATAATATATTATTTGAATATTAAAAATTCATCATCCATAGTATATCCACAATGAAAGTGTCTTACTTTAACGCAGTAGGAAATGCAGTTGTCCTGGTAATGTTTACAACATCTGTGTCTTGGACCCTTTCTGCATCTGGAGTATTAAAAAAAAGAAAAAACAAGTCAGCACTGCGAACTCTGTACAAACCTGTGTGTCTGTGTTAAGATGTGTATTCTCTCACATTGATTCTAGCAGTTCCCTGGTGTAGGCTACCAGAGTTTTTCTCCTAGAGCTGGGCCTTTCTGCTGACGCCTGGGAGTCCTCGGTCTCTATAGCAGCTGCCCTCTCAAGGGGTACAGAGTGAGTTGGAATCTCTTCTTTCCCAATGATAAATCTGTGAAATAAAATGCACACCACCTCTGTAAGCTTTACTAAAACACTGACAACTAAATCAACACATCAATGGGAACACGGACAACTTACTTTAATGCAGGAGATGCAAAGCCTTTGAGACCATCTTTACTCCTACAGTAAAAAACAAAAATAGTAACTTTAAATATCCGAAGTCTGTTCATAATAATCAACTGACCAATGTTTCACATTTCCCTGTAAGATTCTGTCCACTATGCTGCTCTGACCTGAAGAAGAACATGTAGAGCGATGAAGTCACGCAGAACAGGAGTACCTGATGGGGAAAAAAACAGAAGCAGGCATCAGGACAACAACTGAAAGGTTAGCATTTGGCCATGGACATTTACACTATGCAGAAAAGTAGGACCTGCTGAACATTTGGTGTATATTTATATAAGCCACTGTGTGTGTGTGTGTGTGTGTGTGTGTGTGTGTGTGTGTGTGTGTGTGTGTGTGTGTGTATAAACACTGTGTAAACACTGTGTAAACAGGAAGCATCCCTGCTGTCTGTCAGCAGGGCATTTTGATGTACTGAACTCAAACCAGTGTTCCCAACTAGACCTCGCTGTAGTTTTCATGTAGCCTGAGCTGCTAGTGTTGTTTTGCAATAATCCCACAGAATAAATTCTTTTCAAGTGAGGTCAGGGATTTTTTTTTGCATCATGTTAATCTACTTCCGTAGATTCCGACATTATTCTACGGATGGCGAAACAGTCATGAGAAAATGTGATTTCCTGATAACTGAGAGCTAAAGCAAGTCTGAGAGCCCCTGGTGAGAGACGGAGCCCTCCTGTATTATATTATTTATCATCTAAACCCCATAACTTACTATGCTTCACTTTAATCTCACCCAGACCTCCCTCTCATCTTACCTCGCCATGTTTGATGGGTTTGATGATGCCTCGTGTCACTGCCATACGGAACAATGTCTCAATGGCCTGACAACAAGATTACACTGTTACATATACATTGTGTGGCAAAAGTGGGTTTATGTTTTTACATCTAACAAATAATGTTTAAATGAACAGAGTAGCTCTTACAAGATTTGTCATGTATATTGTCAGCAGCCCTCTCCTGGTGGGAGGGAGGGAGGGAGGGAGGGAGAGACATAAGTTTTCAATAAACACAGAATCAATAATTACAACATCATGCACGGTACTTGAAATGCATCCCACAACTTCATTAGGTCAGTTGAGTAGCACTGCCATCGTGCCATTATGCAGTGTTGTACTTGGAAAATGTGTTTTACTTCAAAACATCAACAAAGTTTCAGAGAGTAGGAGAACCAAAAAGAAAATTGAACATAAAGTGGATTCTCACCTGCTCTTCCGTTCCAGGAGGATGGCAATATAGGAGGCAGGCAGTGCCGAGCCAAACCCGGCAGACCAGGAGTGAAAACCTCCCAACAGTTTCCTAAAGTTGGACATACATAGCATTATTTCACTGTTCTTTTTATTCATTTATTTTCAACTAGAAAGTAGTGAACTTAGGCACACTGCCAGCACTGGTAGTAGTAATGTTTTAGTTAGATCTTGATCCTTTATTTTCATTTTTAAAACAAAAAGGGAAAATATTATGTAAATTGCATCTTTAAAATATCTGTATACCTTTGGACAGTCTATAGTAATAGAGTGGGAATGGGAGTGAGGGAGCGATGTTACTTGAGGTGTAAGAAAATATTCATGCACTTGAGTAGTGTTTTTTCTGATATTGTATTGATTCTGAAAGACACTGTTTTGATTGGGGATGTAACAATAAACTCAACTCACAATTTGATGACAATTGACAGTACTGCGTTCACAACATGATTTTGTTGTTTTTAAACATATGATACGATATGATGTTTTTAACAAAATGAGATTGAAGATAAATTAAGATTCCTTCTTTTCTCCTCAGGCAAAAATCATTTATATTGTCTTTATTAAATTTAAAAAAATCATTTTATTACTGTGGTAGGGTACAAAGTGTGCAAAACAATGCATATTTAATTTTCTTTGTAAAAGTGAAACTGAATATATTACCCTGTCAACAGCCTCATATCTCTTGCCATGTCTCATCAGTTATCTTCTTACCCATATCATTTTCTGATTTAGGGCAGCCAAAAAGCAGCCACATTTCCAATTTAGAGATTAGCGATTTTAAAGTCTTCACATGGGGACAAGATGTCTTTGCCCCTTGATACAGTTACTGGAGTGAGTAACATAGGAGGTCAAACAAGCAAAGTCAAAAGTAGATAGCACTCTCTGCTGTCACTTGCGATATTTTGCTTATATTTTGTTCTATACATACATTTATTATTATTATATTATTGTTACATTCGCAATATAGGTTTGTTTTTTTTAAATCTATTGATTTATTTGTTTAAACCCCAAACTGCAACATAGCAGTGTTGTAAACGTAAACTGAGGGCTATGATGTTGGATGTGGTTGCATACACCTTTTTTTTTTTTAACTCAGATTTTCTACTTACGGTGGTGTGTTTTTTATACTATGTCAGTTTTCTAAAATTTGTTGAAAAAAGATTGCAATATAATAAGTATTGCTTCACCAGGTTTTTCCCATTACACAGTCCTAGGCGTTACTGAGAACAAAGCAGTGAATCAGAGATATAAAACATTTTCTTATTGTTTCACAACAGTTACATTAAAAAAGCCCCTCCACACCCTCGCAAAGTTTTACATAAGGTACGCACTGCCACATTTTGTGCCAGAAGCTGCACTGTCTCGGTCAAACAGACAGCAGCTCTCTACATTCATAGTGTCGCATAGACCACACCTCCACACTTCGTTTTAGTGCTTCACAGCCCTGGAGAGCATAGTAGACAGACCCAGTGTTGGCAACTTTGAGACTCTCTCGCTAGAAATAGTGGCTTTCCAGACCCACTGAGAAACTTTATTTCTAAAAAGCAACCTACAAGAAATTAAGGAACTTCCACCGACCATCAGGGAAATGGTGGCAAATATATTCAAATATTTTATATTATTAATTAGTAATTCATTCCAATGCATGCTGCTAAGTCCATGGTTCCTCAGCCAACAGCACTGGTGTCTCTGTCCTCATACAGTGCATCCGGAAAGTATTTACAGTGCTTCACTTTTTCCACATTTTGTTATGTTACAGCCTTATTCCAAAGTGGATTAAGTTCATTTTTTTCCTCAAAAGTCTATATACAACCCCAAAATGACGTGAACAAGTTTGTTTGAAATTTATTAAAAATAAAGAACAAAAATATAAACACATGCATAAGTAGTCACAGCCTTTGCTGAATACTTTGTTGAAGCACCCTTGGCAGCAATTACAGCCTCAAGTGTTTTCGAGTATGACACTATAAGCTTGGCACAACTATTTTTGGACAGTTTCTCCCCGTCTTCTTTGCAGGACCTCTCAAGCTCCATCAGGTTGCATTGGGAGCCCGGTGCACAGCCATTTTCAGATCTCTCTAGAGATGTTCAATTGGCTTCAAGTCTGGGTCACTCAAGGATATTCACGGAGTTGTCCCAAAGCCACTCCTTTGTTATCTTGGCTGTGTGTTTAGGGTCAGTGTCCTGTTGGAAAATGAACCTTCGCCCCAGTCTGAGGTCCAGAGCTCTCTGGAGCAGGTTTTCAGTTTTCATCAAGGATGTCTCTGTACATTGCTGCATTCATCTTGCCCTCGATCCTGACTAGTCTCCCAGTTCCTGCCACTGAAAAACATTCCCACAGCATGATGCTGCCACCACCATGCTTCACTGTAGGGATGGTATTGGCCAGGTGATGAGCAGTGCCTGGTTTCCTCCAGACATGACACTTGGCATTCAGGACAAAGAGTTCAATCTTTGTTTCATCAGACCAGAGAATTTTGTTTCTCATGGTCTGAGAGTCCTTCAGGTGCCTTTTGGCAAACTCCAGGCAGGCTGTCATGGGCCTTTTACTGAGGAGTGTCTTCTGTCTGGCCATTCTACCATACAGGCCTGATTGGTGGAGTGCCTGCAGAGATGGTTGTCCTTCTGGAAAGTTATCCTCTCTCCACAGAGCAACACTGGAGCTCTGTCAGAGTGACCATCAGGTTCTTGGTCACCTCCCTGACTAAAACCCTTCTCTCCCGATTATTCAGTTTGGCTGGGTGGCTCTAGGAAGAGTCCGGGTGGTTCCAGACTTCTTCCATTTACAGATGATGGAGGCCACTGTGCTCATTGAGACCTTCAATGCTGCAGAAATGTTTCTGTACCCTTCCCCAGATCTGTGCCTCTATACAATCCTGTCTCGGAGGTCTACAGACAATTCCCTGGACTTCATGGCGTGGTTTGTGCTCTGACATGCACTTTCAGCTGTGGGGCCTTATATGGACAGGTGTGTGCCTTTCCAAATCAGGACCAATCAACTGAATTTACCACAGGTGGAAGTTGTAGAAACATCTCAAGGATGATCAGTGGAAGCAGGATGTACCTGAGCTCAATTTTGAGTGTCATGGCAAAGGCTGTGAATACTTATGTACATGTGATTTTTTTTGTTTTTGTTTTCTTGTTGTCATTATAGGGTATTGTGTGTAGACTTTTGAGGAAAACAAATAATTTAATCAATTTATGGAATAAGGCTGTAACATAACAAAATGTGGAAAAAGTGAAGCGCTGTGAATACTTCCCAGATGCACCGTACATTCATAGTGTCTCATCTCCACACTTCATTTTAGTGCTTCACAGCCCTGGAGAGCATAGCAGACAGACCCAGTGTTGGCAACTCTTTCTCGTTAGAAATAGCGGCTTTCCAGACCCACTGTATTTCTAAAAAGCAACCTACAACAAATTTAGCAACTTCTTCCCACCATCAGGGAAATTATGAAAAATTACATTAAAATACATTATGTTATGAATTAGTAATTCATTTCCATGCATGCTGCTCAGTCCATAGTTCTTCTGCCAACAGCACTGGTGTCTTTATCTCTCCCCTTAAGTCCTACACAGGCAGTTAGTAGGTGTAGGGCATGTCCGAACTTCTCTGGCATGCTCTCCAGATCTCTGGATTAGGGTGTTCCTTAAGCTTATATGTAAATAGTTAGTTTGAGCGTGTAAATATTTGAATAGTTTTTTCGATCCTCTCCCTCCCTTTGTAGATTTTTGTTTTTTTACTTCAAATATACAATGTCCCTGTTTGTCATTATTTATTCATCAAACTGTCAGAAATGAACAAGAAACAGTAACTCAACCAATGAAAAAAAAGAATAATGAAACTGATTGTGGCCAAATACCTAGGGTGATTTCAATTTTGTAGTCAGACATAAGTGCAGAACTGCAAAAGGGGACAATGGAGTTAATAAATTATATTATGTAGAATAAAAACAAAAATAACAACAATGGTTATTACGTTAGGGACAGGTGAAAGCAAAATTCATAAAAGCTCATTTCAAGCCCCTTGCTCTATTCATTTTATTTCTATTTTTAAGTTAATCCTACCTAGTATGCCTTTAAAAGGTACCATGTGGAGGCATGTTGGTGAATAACACTGAATGTAAACATAACTTTTGTTTGTTTAAAAGAAAACCACAAGAAGGTCACATTCAAGCCACACAGCTTATGTGAATTTGTTTATTTCACAACACTGTGTAAACCATTAGATCTTCAGTTTTAATGACAGATGCCTTCAGTTTCAGAAGCCCTTGCATCTCACCATGTTGATGGACAGTGTGCATCTGTGTGGCAGCTGTTTCACCTACTAACCTGAGAATGCAGAAGAAAACAATGTAGAGACCTCCATTGGCAGTGAGGAAAGAGGTAGACCACAGGATCTCAGGGAGAAGCCTTTTTAAATAGTAATCCTTTTTCTTTCTCCTTAGAACTGCCGCTATCTGCAATACACAAAAGTGGAGAGTTGAGTCACTGTTGTTAATGTTGACATTTGGTTGGCAAATCATTGGGAAAACTTAAAAAATGCACCAAAAATCATGTGTAACTGGTCAGACGAGTTAACTCCGGACTTATCAGATATTCTCAGTAGACCGTTAAGTAGCCGGTTACTAATGAGTGTGTCATGCACGGTTTTAAAAGGGCAACATAGCGCGAACGCTGTTTTTGTAACTTTCAACAAGTTGGTGCATGAACTTGAACTTAGACCCCACCGAGAGAAAGCTAGTGACATATCAGCTAATGTTTACGACAGAGACAAGTTCGCCTTGGTTGGACTTAACTTGGTTAGCTAGCTAACTTTAGCTTCAGAGTCTACAAGTCCCAAATGTTGCAGGTCAAACAGAAAAACTCACCAGGTAAAGAGGGACGTATATTTTGAAGGAGACCTCCAAGGCACCCCTGGTTACATCCAAAGCAGAATGCAGGCAGGACGGGTTCCAGGTATGGCCGAGCTCGTAGCAGCTGTGCGGTATTTTACTGAGAGCAGCCATGTCTGAGCTCCACTGACAACCAGCGACGGCAGGAAGACACGGTGACGCGCTGCCGTGCGCGGTCACGATAAAGACTTGTGCACCATGTGACCATGATCAAATAATAAATAATAAATCATTGGTGTATTCAAAATCAGTGGTTTATTCATTTACCATATTTTTTAAAAAAAATAATACTTTTAACTTTTAAAATGCATTTTAATTAATTTTACAAGATATATGTATGATATTGAAAACTAAACTTTAAATAAACGTAACGTTTAGAATCGCCATACAGCTATGTAACCATCTGTTTCTGATGTTAGTTTTTAGTTTGATTTATAAACTATGCTCGGAAGATTCATCTTCTAAACCTGCTCTCATAATATAGAGAGACATGGGGAGGCACTTGAGCAAATTGTTCATTAAAACCAGAATTAGCCAGATTAGTATGAAAGAGATGGGCCACTGTGTGACAAGATGTAAGAGGTTTGTTTTTTTCTACACACATCATTTCCCACCTGCTCACTGTGGATGGAACTAAATACTTAAATCTGCCTAAATCTTCAACTAAATGCCTAAATCTGGAATCAGATTAGGCTTAATCTGACTCAAGTGTGCTGGGTCCTGTTGGTGGTCAAGTGCATGTCATGGTACACAGTCGCATGGTTTTACCTCTTTTTTAAATTAATTTGGTGGTAGTGGAGATAATTACACACAACACTTGGCATGTTTTGTCCCTTTTGTTAGACTATCACATAAAGTAACAGCACACACATTACAGAGCCACAGACAAATTTGAGAAGAGTATGAGAATCTGACTCAGCTGCAAATACTACAATGTTTAAGGTATAAATAATATATCTATATATATATTTCACGCTGAATTTCCCGAGGTTTCTTATCCCAGAGTAAGGAACTGGGCTGGGATCTGACTGAGAAATTAATACACGACAGGTCATCCTATAGTAGAACAATGTGTTTTTTCTATAGGTTTGGAAGACGGTGCAAAACGAGACAAAAGAAAACACAGTCCGAATCTGAGCCGACTTTGACCTTCAAGCACATAACGGAATAATAAAACTTATTTAGTTTATTTAAGGACCTTGTTTTTCTGTAAAGCCACTACCCAATGCACATTTTCTCACCATATCAATGCTGTGCTTGGAGTGCAGATTGTACTGAGAGATTTGTGAGGATTATCAGAAATAGGAAGCTCAAGGATCACAATCAGCTAAACAAATGAGGAAGGCAAGATCAGAGTGACTAGAATGATGTATTATCAAGGTGGTGTAAAGGCAGAGCTAAAGTTCACCCACCTTGGTCTCTACAGTTGTATTGCTCAGAGTTGGTCAGCAGGTGTCAGCCTAACCCATTTGATGTACAGGATGACACAGGTTGAGAGGTTGGAAGATGGAAAGTGTAGGTTGAGGGAAATGTTCATTGTTATGAATGAGTTGGCTTCAAAATTTTCCACTTGTTGAAAAGTGCAGTGGTTGCTACAACTCCCCAAACAACATCACAACATCATTTAATGTGCTGACACAACATAGCAACGTTCAGCCTATGTGAATGAACCTTACACCAGTTTTTGATTTGGCTAAAGTATGATTAGCTTTTTTAGATTAGCTTTGTTTCCATTTCAGACGAAATTCACACTTAGAAATGGTTTGTAAACAGTAAATAATTACTTTATTCATGCTTACAACAGCCTTGTTTACATAGATCAGATAATTAATAATAACAACTTTGTTGTGTAACATTCCTCTGGCAGCTTTATTGTTTAGCAGGAGACTTCCTGCCATAAACCCATTCATTAACCTGTCCCAGTAGGCTACATTTATTTACTTTAAACGGATAATCAACATTTATAACAGCATTATAGCAACCGAAAGCATAAACACCATATTAAAGTTATTATTAAAGCCACTGCATACAAATTATTTTGTGTGACTTATCAGACAGTGGTAGAACTAATTCATTTGAGTTTGTGAAAAAATGTGAATTGTGAATTATAGGCCAGAAAAAAAGTCCACTATTAGACCAAACTAACCTATCTCAGTAAAATATTGTAGCCTACACACACAAAGCCCATCTGATTTATTACCTTGCTTATTCATCACCTTTGGAAAATTGACAGCCAATTGAGACGACCCATGGCGCTCGAGTCTGCATTTTGGGATAAGTAGAACAATTACCTTAATTTCCCAGTAGGCAATTGTAATAACATCTTATAATAATTAACGCAAGAGTGGTACACAGCGGTTATTATCCATTTACGTCTGATACCAAGGGAGGCGGGCACACAGTGGCTCTCTATCTCTCTCCCTCTAGCTCTCTCTCTCTCTCTCTCTCTCTCTCTCTGGTTGAATAGACCGACTGTTTCCCTTTCGCAGTTTCGTAAGTGCTTGCAGCCCCGCCGCACATCAGCCTACGCTCAGGCCGTATCGGGGAGTCAGCGGAGGACAGGTTTACACTTGCTCCTCTTGAAGCCAGACCCCGCTACTAAACATCTGCAGCCCTGCGCCTCACTGCAGCGATCGCCCGAACATGGGACTGACTTTGGGGCTGTTTGTGAGCTGTTTGTTGTTTTTTCTCTCCTCCAGTGCCGAGGGGAAGGGCGGCAGGGAGAGAGTTTACTATGTGGGGATCATTGAGGACTCGTGGAATTACGCACCAAGTGGAAAAAACTTGCTTAACGGGGAGGACACCGCAGAAGATGAGTGAGTTGTGAGAAGTTATTTGGAGATTAATGTAGAGATAAAAAATGTATGGAATCATACGTGTTCATCACAAGTACTGTGGGGGAACCCCCTACAGATCATCAGAAATACTGATGTTTGAAGAAAGGTTTTAGGTGTTACCTATGTCCTCTTGTCAGGGTGTGATCGTGTCTAGACCTCCGAGGGCATTATTAGTTGCTTTGCTGGCACTCAAAGTAGATCCACAGGAAAAATGACATTACTTAAGTGTTGAGACTAGGAAATGGCTGTCTTCTTTCACGAGGTTTCCATTGCTATGTAATGTACCTAAATGAAACAGAAACCACTCTCTCATTCAAATGAACAAAATGGGTTGTACGACAGTGTGATTTATTACAAAGATATAATGTTGCTACACTTTAAGAATGAATTCTGCATATTTCCCAATTGTGACCCTTTAAGTTTAAAAATGGACAGTCAAGACCATAAATAATGTTGTTAACCTGACTGAGAATAGTGTTCCTCTGGGTGGTTTGTAACTGATCACTGATAGGGAAGATCTTCTGGACCACAAGCTGAAAAGTTGGACACACACACCAGACAACAAGCTGATCTGCAGTTGAGGAGAAAAAGACTGTTTCATTCAACACAGGAGAAGACAGCCGTTAATATACCCACTCCACATCCCATCATTGATTGCATTTCACTGAACAGACATAATCCTATGTTCTCCATCATCGCGGAAGTCATTGATATCACTTCTATACTGTAACTCAATTAAAACACCATTACTATATACTACATTATTATATCTGTGTGTCTGTCAACATGATACAAATATAAAGAAAACATCATCCACGTATGTGATTAAACTGTAATTAAAAACAAAACAAACAGATTCAGGTGGAAAATGTATGCCATGTGTTCAAAGTCCTAATGTAATATGGACTGTGAGAATAAACTGATGGACTTAGGACTTAGTAAAATCAGACCCTCATATGAAGGCATGGATATAATTAGGATTTTCCACAAGTGGTGGGTTACGATTACACCGCAGTTCATCTTTTCTTGCGGGACAGCTAAATAACTTTGAAGCATAACAACCTTTGCATTCTTGTGCAACACGGGACTTTCTGACTTACTCTAGCCAGCCAGCTTACTCAACACTCAGTGGCCAAAACCAAATATACACAGGCGCAGCATATATTGAACAATATTTTTTTTCTTTTCCAGATATCATTATTATCTATTTGTTCTTCATATTTTATTGATTATTGAATCCATCGGCAGATCATGAAACTGCTATAACTATGCTACAGTTGCAAGGTATTCCAATAACAAAGGTAAATTGACTAGAACACTGATGATCTCATCAATACTGAAATAAGCACAGCTCTATAGTTCATTCATTCATAAGTCCTGTTTAATGGAAATGTATTAGTGAGAGGTAGAGCACATTAGGGCAAGATTGCTCTGACTGGGTGCTCAGTGAGACCCCCTTTGTCAGCAAGGTCATCAGTATAACCTAGTCCAGGTAATGCTTTTTATCCTCCCTGCTACTTTGGTTTTGAGCTGGATAAACAGTAGCAAAAACTGTGTTTACCACAGCTCCAGTAACAGGCTATTAGCCCACAGAAACATGTAATCACAATAATGACAAGTCTTATAGTTGGAGAGCTGCAACCAGATACAATTTGTTCTTGTGGCATTACATCTACAGTTAAAGTTCAATAATCTCAAAGATAAATTGGAGCCTTTTGTGAAATCTCACAGTGCGCTTAAGTGGCATCACGCTTCTTGTCACATTTCCTCCTTTATCTGGCATTTCCTCTATTTTTGTATTTATTACATAATAGGTCATACAAGATACAGACATCTTGACAATAATTAGACAGTTGCACTGTTGTCATTGTGGTGTCAGCATGTTTGCATATAATGTTTCTCTTACTTGCATTTATAAAATTGCTGTTATTTTTGTCCCACTTATATTTTATTTTTTGTGCTTTAATGTTCCTTTAACCTATTTGTCCTTCTTTCTTGCAAAACAATGTATGTAGCATGTCTGGGAGATAGAACTGCATGTCATTGTGCAATCCTGTATTATAAAATATGACACTAACCTGACCTTGACCTTAAAAAATGCCCAACAGAATAAGATTAATAGCTGTACTGTTCTGTTCTCCCTCCCACTCACTCTCCTCCCTCTGTGTAACCACTTGTCTCTCTGTATCTATTATACTTTGTGTTTTCTTTCCACTTCTATCTCAGGTTTGCATCTGTATTCCTGGAAAAAGGTACTCATCGTATTGGCAGTGTTTATAAGAAGGCCATGTTCCGACAGTATACAGACGCCTCCTACAG